TGCCATAACGGATCTCTATATATAAATAACATGGTAGATTGACATCTGACTGCCTTTTACAAACACAAATACTTTTGCAACTAATGATTTTCTTGACCGTAAAAATAGATAAGTCTTACTTGTTTCGAAATTAAAGTCACAAATTAATCGTGACGAGCATTATGATTGTACATCTTTCTTTAGTTAAGTTTTCACTTTTAATTTTTTCTTTCTTTTTTAAGTATATTTTTTAATTTCTTTATTTTATGTTCTGTCAATATTCAAGTCATTTTCACTACAGTTTTGTTCTGCACGTCTCGTTGGTACCGTTAGATACTGCCGTTGCTGTAAATTTTTGTTTTGTTTTCATGTAAGCAATGTTCTCCGCGTGACCTTCTTCCATACTCTTCATTGGTCTGTAGAACAAATTTAAAAGTATACAGTCTGTAACGCCATGCGAGTCTAGTGGTGTAAGTAGTAGGTCGCTCATGAAGAAGTTGTAGAAGCGAAACGCTGAGTGAAATAAATATAACCTTGTTCTGGAGCTTACGGTCGTTTTTTCAGTTGAATATCAGTTACCGTATAGAAGGAGTTATGAATCCTTCAACAAAATACAACAACAGTACATAATCAGCAGAAAGTGATGTTTAAGTAAATACTTCTAGGCGGTTATCATAAATTTCTCGTCTGCTTTTTCAGCCATTATTTAATATTCTACAACACTGTCAAACGTAGGAGGAGGAAAAGGGGACTTTATATGCATATTTCTTGCTGTTAATATTTTATTTAGTTAGTTAAGCTTAGGAAACAAACGAACCAGAAATACATTTTATGGAATCTCAATATTTTTCCGTTTTCTCTTCGTTTTATATTTAGAATATAACCAAATTATGGTTATATTTGGTTATAATATAACTAAATTATCTTTCTCGATAGGTTTTATTGATCTAAAGTTTTCTGTACTTTTCGTCAGATTAGAAATTAATTTCTTATATCCACAATATGTATAAAATTTAAGCCACCAACGTTATCATCATTGCTATTACGTTACTAAGCAGATCCTATAAATACAGAATCTTAGTAACTTCATCATTCTCATAGCATCTGTTTTTCATTTCTTGTAAACTAATAAGCTGTTTTTAACTTTAATACGCCCACCCCCTTTAGTGGCACGGCGGTAAGTATGCGGACTTACAACGCTAGAAACCGGATTTCGATACCATTGATGGGCAGAGTACAGATAGCCCATTGTGTAGCTTTGTGCTTAAATTCAAACAAACAAACAAACCTTTAATACTTCTGGTATTTGATAAGATGCCAAATGGACTGGGCGTGGCTTAGACATTTGAATATTCGGACTGTGAATCAGCAAAAAAAAAAGGTATACTTTAGGTATGCAGCGCGTTTTAAAGGTGACTGTAATATCCCATAGTTTTATCAGACAAGATTAGCCTTAGTAATTGATAATGGGTGTTATTTACTAGCTGCCTTCGCTGTAGTCTATAAAGATGGCTATGCGCAAATAGCCATTGCGTAGATTTGCGCGATAATTAAAATACAAAACAAAGTGACATTTTCTTTCGGGTATGTTTCACATCAAACAACGGGTTTTCATTTCTCAAGAGTTTCTTTCTTAGAAATGTTTTCGTTTGATGGTTTTCACTATTTAAAAAATTACTTAATGGAAAAGCTTGACTATTTTCGGTTTTACCATCGATAAAATGTTTTTCTACATCAACTGGATTCTTACACGGTAAACATTAAATTTGCTATTAAAATATTTCTTCAAAATATTTAACAAAAAGCTTAAGACAGTCAAAAGCAATTAATACAAAGAAATAAAAAATAAATACATCGATTGCACCACGAGATCAATGCTCCCTACTGTCTTTTAGAATACGTTATTAATAGACACTCCAATGCTATTACATATACACAAATGATACTGTAAATTGCGCTGTGATGTTTGGTATTTTCCGTTTATCTTAAATCCAATCACAGTTTCCTTAGTTTTTGGTATTGTGTCTAGATATTCTGTGAGAAACGTAATACTAAATTCAAATACTCGTGTAATCAGTTTTGTTCTGTTAGTATAAAGCTTAATTTCAAAGTTGAGTCTGATTAACAGAAGGGGTTGAAATGAACTTCTTCTATTGTTTCGTAGTCATTCATTATTTGAATGTCTATCAGAAAGAAAAGTAAATGAGATACCCAACTACAGACGTCAGATGATAAGTGTAAATGCGTTTTCACAATAATATGTTTGCTTACAAGTTGAAAAACACAATAGTTAATTTTACTTTATACCTAATCCGCTTATTCCGTGTTCCCGAAGGCTTGAATAGTATGAAATGTATATATGAATACACAAATACATGTTTAGAAACAAGTAGCTTTAGCTTGTATTTGTTTTATTTTTCACAAAGTCACATGCTGTAGATATGTGAGCGGATTATTGTTGTTGCTATAGTGTCTCTTAATATATATAGATATGTGAGAGGATTATTGTTGTTGCTGTAGTGTCTCACAATATGTGTGGATATGTGAGCGGATTATTGTTGATGCTGTAGTGTCTCTTAGTATATGTAAATATGTGAGTGGATTATTGTTGTTGTGGTAGTGTCTCTCAATATGTGTGGATATGTGAGCAGATTATTGTTGTCGTCGTGTCACTCAATATGTGTAGTTATGTGGGCGTATTATTGTTGTTGTCGTGTCTCACAATATGTGTGGATATGTGAGCGGATTATTGTTGATGCTGTAGTGTCTCTCAGTATATGTAAATATGTGAGTGGATTATTGTTGTTGTGGTATAGTCTCTCAATATGTGTTGATATGTGAGCAGATTATTGTTGTCGTCGTGTCTCACAGTATGTGTGGATATGTGAGCGGATTATTGTTGTTGTCATGTCACTCAATATGTGTAGTTATGTGGGCGTATTATTGTTGTTGTGTCTCACAATATGTGTGGATATGTGAGCGGATTATTGTTGTCGTCGTAGTGTCTCTGAATATGTTTGGATATATGAACGGATTAGTGTTGTTGTCGTAGTGTCTCTGAATATGTTTGGATATATGAACGGATTAGTGTTGTTGTCGTAGTGTCTCACAATATGTGTGGATATGTGAGCGGATTATTGTTGTCGTCGTAGTGTCTCTGAATATGTTTGGATATATGAACGGATTAGTGTTGTTGTCGTAGTGTCTCACAATATGTGTGGATATGTGAACGGTTTATTGTTGTTCTCGTAGTGTCTCCCAATATGTGTGTCTCGCGCTTATTTGATTAAGAGTGATTAAGTTCATACAGATAAAAAATGTGTATAAAAATATAGATACAATTATAAAATTGTTTGAGAAAATGAGAAACTGGTTAATTAATTCGTAAAAAAAGAGAGTTTCTTCGAAGAAAATTTAATCTTTTATAACGAATGAATATTTACTCTCTTAGCTCCTGTCGTTCCTAGTGGAACATAGGGCCACAACAACACATCGCCGACGGAAGTGTTGTTGCAATTTCTATAGCAGGTTGGTTTTTACGGGGTGGAGTTGCTAGCCCTGCGCCCAACCCTCCTCCTTTTTCATCCTGGACTTGGGACCACGCAATGGTGGTGGCATCCCTGCCGGGGAACGAACCCGGTACCTTCGGATTAGAAATCCAACGCGCTAGCCACAGCGTTATAGGGACACAAATATTTACTAGTAATAATATATCGAATTATTTTACGTCCTAACTAAACCTAGTCTGGAAGGATGAAGATTACTGTAAACACACGTAAGTTACAATCATCCCCTATTCTTTTAAAAATTGGAATGCTAGGGATTTTTGAAATAATAATGGAAATAAAATATATGTATAGGTACATATATGTTCAACAAAAGTTTGTGTGAAAACACCATATATTGAAAGTCCACTTTAACAAATGATATTTTCTCATTGTCTAGTTAGTTTTGAATTTCGCGCAAAGCTACACGAGAGCTATCTGCACTAGCTGTCCCTAATTTAGCAGTGAAAGAGTAGAGGGAAGGGAGCTAGTCATCACCACCCACCGCCAACTCTTGGGCTACTCTTTTACCAACGAATAGTGGGATTGGCCCTCACGTTATAATGCCCCCACGGCTGAAAGGACGAGCATGTTTGATGGGACGGGGATTCGAACCCGCGACCCTCAGATTGCGAGTCGAGCGCCCTAACCAGCTGGCCATGCCGGGCCTATTCTCATTGTTTACAGCTATAGGAAGTAATAATAATGTTTTACGGTAGTAAACTTTTTATTCATTGATTACAGCTATAGGAAGTAATAATAATGTTTTACGGTAGTAAACTTTTTATTCATTGATTACAGCTATAGGAAGTAATAATCATGTTTTACGGTAGTAAACTTTTTATTCGTTGATTACAGCTATAGGAAGTAAGAATAATGTTTAACGGAAGTAAAATGTTTATTCATTGATTATAGTTATAGAAAGTAATAATCATGTTTTACGGTAGTAAACTTTTTATTCATTGATTACAGTTGTAGAAAGTAATAATCATGTTTTACGGTAGTAAACTTTTTATTCATTGATTACAGCTATAGGAAGTAATAATCATGTTTTACGGTAGTAAACTTTTTATTCGTTGATTACAGCTATAGGAAGTAAGAATAATGTTTAACGGAAGTAAACTTTTTATTCATTGATTATAGTTATAGAAAGTAATCATCATGTTTTACGGTAGTAAACTTTTTATTCATTGATTACAGTTGTAGAAAGTAATAATCATGTTTTACGGTAGTAAACTTTTTATTCATTGATTACAGCTATAGGAAGTAATAATCATGTTTTACAGTAGTAAACTTTTTATTCATTGATTACGAATCAACAAAACATCTTTCGATATTATTAAGTGATTCTAACATGAAACGCGCATTACTCTGGTAAAAAAATAATGTTTCTCAACACGTTTACATTTAAATAAGCAGATGGTAGGGCACTAACTGATCTGAATCGTTAAAATTTAGTTACTTTAGAAAACTTACCCGTTATTTCGTTTTCAGAACAACTCGTAGCTTGGAATACCAAACAGTGAATCTGCAGTTTCTTCTCCACTTGGGCATTCCAGGAGTCCTGACTGCGGTAGTTAGGCTTGTGTATCGTTAAGGAACAGCTAGAGTTAACTGTGAGTCGTCTCAGCTGCAAGTGGCCAAACGCAACGCGTGATGTGGCTTATAGATTGGGTAAGTCCTACTACAATATCGCATTGGCCAATCATTGAAGCTCTAGAAAAAGAAAATATAAAAGCGGAGTGAGCTAATGGAGAAATTCACGCAAGGAAGAACTTTATTCTTTTGTCTCTAAGCTAGAAAAAAACCACCAGAAGGCTACAAAAAGATTAACAAAAATCTTTCAAACAAGTATTTCAAGTCACGAAGCAACGTAAGTTAGCTACAATGCATAACATACACTTGATCAATCAGTCTTTCTCAGCTGCAATAACCCGTTTTTAACGTCATTAGTAACTCATACTCTTGTAGATCATCAAAATGTAAAGGGAGAAAACGATCATAATATTTTTATCCACAGCAGTTGATAAGTTTAATTTTAAAAAAAAAGATGAGCGACATAACTTATTTAAATGTTTTAATAGGCCCGATTGAACGTTGAGCATGCAGTAATACAGTATTGGCAGCCCTTTCCTTAAAATGCTAACATATGTATGTCTTCTTATTGTCATGGTAACCACTGTGAAGTGGTCTTCGAATTGCAACGTTCTACAGCTCGAAACCTTCCTGACAAGATTTCTTTCTTACATCAATCTATTACACAAACATTATAAATAATGATACCATGCAAAGATTAAACCAACTGACAATTCAGCTGTAAAGGTATTTTGTTATTTGTTACTGTAAATACCTTATAAAAGTAGAGATTGTGATATATATGTTATTATGAAAATCACATCAGACTGAAGCTTAATTATCGCCTCGTAAGTGATATTTGTCAGTGCAATCAGTCACTCATAGTATGTCAATTAATTATACAAGGTCATAGACGTAAAGTACTACATTATTATTCAGTTAAACTTCTATAAGTTTCGACAGTCAGTTTAATTTGCAGGGATTTATAACGAATATCTGTACACTTTTACTTGAGGATTGTTTGTACGAGTGTAGGAAGAAGTGGATTCGGATATCTTTCTAGTTATTTGATTTAAGGTGTAGGAAGAATAAATCTTATAACTGATAGTAAAAGAGGCGTTCATTGCAACACAAGCACCATTTTTGTGTCAACTGTAAATCACAACGCTTTAAAGTGTACTACCTGTGCTCACGTATTATGATGTCATGGAGCTATGACTCATCATTATGGAAGTATTTCCTGTTATCACTCCGAAAGTTGAAAACATAATTGACAATTACTTTTCATCAAAATAAATAGATCAGAACTGATACGAATACAATTAATTTAATATGCTGTTCTTAATTGGAGTACGCAAAGTCATTAAACAAAAGATTAGAATAAATTAGAATGCGTTGAGTCATCATTTGGATACCACGCTGTTAACGATACTTTGGCCATAATCCCAGTTTAGGGGATTTAAGTTAGTCCTACATCTTAATACCAAGTTACAATACAAGATAATAATAAAAATATATATTATATATATGTCTATGTTAATTAGTTCCGTTAAATAAACTATCATTACAGAAAGAAATGATACAACTTACAAAACATATAAAACTAGACTTTGCCACATTCATTACTACCAACTCTAAGTTAGCGAGCACCCATTTACAGAAGGTAACAGGTTACATCTTATCTTTTCTTCTGGAATTTGTTACAGAGAATAAATGCCTTCAGACAAGGGATCTAAGCCACACGGACCTACTTCCAATGGCTTCACGATCCGTATAGAAAGAACAATGAAACATGAAAAGCTAAATGCTCATTATTACCCTTTTCACCTTTTTATAAAGTATGGGAAATAAAAAGTTTAACACCGTCGAGCAAAGTCCCAAATATTATCGTCACACAAGAGGCTTCTGTAGTCACGCCCATGATGACCAACAATCATCAGTTCGGGCACAGTTTAAATTTTGCGAATGACACGCTTTCTGTAAAGTTGGACATACAATTAATTAAGTTGTTCTGTAGCATTATATGTTCTCTAAGAAGTCAAATATGGAAGTGAGAGAGACCAGTCATATATAAATCTCGCCCTAGCGTCTCTAGGAATAACTAAATATACTTAATTCTCATATTTTTTATCCAATCGAAAAAAAAAAACAATAAGCAACTTTCGTAACGAAACATGTTTATAGGTTTACAATGAGCAACTGCCGTAACTAAGCATGTTTATAGGTTTACAATGAGCAACCTTCGTAACAAAGTATGTTTATTGGTTGACAATGAGCAACTTTCGTAACGAAACATATTCATAGGTTCGATGACGAGGAACAAACTTTGAGACTAATAATATAAATAACACAACAGCAAATGTACAACGTTTCGACAAGGTATTGTCATTATCCATTCAAGCCGTCTCCAACAATATTTATAGGTTTAAAAAAATGAGTAACTTTCATTATGAGGCATGTTTATTCGTTAATAAACGATAAAAAACTTCATAATAGAGCATGTTTATACGTTTATAAGCAATGAACAACCTTCATATTGAGGCATGTTTATAGGCTTATAAACAGTTTGTTTGTAATTAAGCACAAAGCTACGCAATGGGCTATCTGTGCTCTGCCCACCACGGGTATCGAAACCCGGTTTCTAGCGTTGTAAGTCCGCAGACATACCGCTGTTCAACTGGGGGCTTATAAACAGTTAAGTTTCTAATTGAATACCACGTTAAGAACTTAAGTTATGCTATTTTTATCTCCGATTAAAAACTTTTTATTTAATTGCTTTGGTTAATTACTTTAATTAGTGAAAGTGTATATAACTTTCTTTGATAAACATATAATTATACGTAGAGGACAGAGTACACAGGGAGCTGATGTGGTTTAAGATTATGTGGGTGGGTGAAAGGGAGAGTGTATAATATCCCCAAGTAATACACCAAACCTGTTGAGATCGTGGGCATGTTCTCTTTAAAGAATTAGAGAATGTTAGATTATTCCACTAGAATAGATCAGAATTAGTGGAGGATAAACAAAGAACTGGGTAGTACAAAATATTCCTGGTTTTGATGACGTTAATGAGAAATAAAATATACCAATCATGCAAAATATTTAGATTTAAACTTCATTTACAGTTTAAATTACTCTTGATAGCTCTGTTTTTGATCAGATTTCGAACTATGAAACAAAGATTATTTTGTCATTAAAATTTTTTGTTACAATATACCACAAGTGACATTTTGGGATATATATAGAACTTGTCAACACCTTTGTATTCATAATGAAGATATATTTAGTGTAGATCTCTCAGTGTAAGCAAGACAAACTTAGACCCTCTGCAGAGTAAATGCAAAAGTTTTAACACAGTAATAGGTTAATTGCTGTAATATTACCCAAAAAAGCGTTGGAGATATCCTGTCTCTCCAACAAACTTATAGAACGTTAGTGTAATACACACTACTGAAGAGCAATAATAATAATAAAGGGTAAGTAAGGTTTGGATTTTTGAACCCATAATGTTCCAAAACGACTTACCATTCATCATCTGGAACTGGTTGTGGACACTGCAATAATCTTCACAGTATAAAAGTCAAGAAATGCAAAAAATCTTGAATCATATCCATTCTTATAATCTAAATAAGACACTATACCGAACCGTCCTCCAACAACAGAATATAAATCTAAATATTGCAATAATGTAATGGATCTACACTTCAATTCTGCATAGTTCGATATTATTTCCTTTTGTCCAGCGATGTTTGAATGCATTTATGATTAATTACATCAAAGTTTTACATTCACTGGTTTATGGTGTTAATGGATCAACTATTGCAGTTGATGTTGTTTGTAGTTTTTTTTATTTACACATTTATGAAATTAAAGTTGATTATTTCTCCCATCCACACGAGAAAGGAACTGTGATGATAACTCTTCCTGTTAGTTGCATAGTTAGTTTGTCGAGACTGCTACGACGTGAAACTGACATGCATCATTAACTCTGTATTACTGAAGATTTTAAGTCTTTTTCTGAAGGAAAGTATGTTATGCTACAAACGTGTTAACAAAGAAGAAATGACGGATCCATATAATATATGTAATCAAGTTAAAATATGGGTCGAAAACGTAGAACACAATACACCTATGTTGTTCCTATGTATTTTATTACAAAAAAAGAGACAGACACAAAGGGAAGTTACTGAAATAAAGGGATTATTTTTTCAGCTCATGTATTGGTACATATTATGGAACTTCGTGTGTTTCTTTTGTTTATAATGACCTGTATTAAATTGTTAGAAATATATCTAGATGATTCCTTTTGATGTTAATAACTTGAGTCGTACTTAGAAATGTAAATACGGTTTACTTTTGTCTTTAACAAATTCTTTAAAAATTCAAACATTCCTCCAACTGTGTTCAGAGAAAATAAGTCAATCATAGAACACTTCCAGCACAAGGATGCAACCATAAGTACGACAGACGCTGTACAGAGCGAGGTTTCCACCGATATCAGCATTTTCCAAAAACAAACAGTTTTGTGGGTGTATATTTTACGGGTATGATATCAGTCCTGCATAGTTTTATTTTTATAAATGGTTACAAGTTATGCTCTTCAGAATTTTCCTTAATTTTTCAAAGAGAGTGGTTATAAAGACACCCCACATTTAAAATGATTACATGTTAACAAGTTATTTGTTCGATCTATTGGAAGTAGTTTTCAACAGAAGTACATTGAGAATCATAACATTTATTTACATGAGTGTGGATATGCAACAAAGGATTTCCGTGTGCTTTACATCATTCTCAATCAGCACAAACTATCAGGCTTAGAGAACTTACTGTTTGCTTAAGTGTTAGCAAACGAAGAAAATGCGCGTTTTAAAACAAGTTTAATTGCTATAGAAAAATCCTTGGTTTCGGTGTAATTTTCAGGTTTTACTGCTGTTGGATTTCTTAAACCGGATTGAGTGAACGGGACAGAAAAGGACCATAGAGTAAATATTACTACACTTCAAAATTGCAGATTAGTAGGAAGTATTAAAA